CAAACAACCTCTGAGAACACCAACACACTGGCACTCTGCAACAGAGATGAAGGACAAAAACAGGGCCCTTCATAACTTTGTCTAAGCAYAGATAAAAACAAGGTCACTGTGCCACCCACAAAATACCAAACACCCCTCGGGCCCAGCTGGCGAGTGACTGGCTTCTTTGTGAGTAACAGCTTCAGTCCTACTCAGGCAAACCGCCTTCTAGAAAAGACTAGTGGGCTACAGGATCACAGAGTTGTCCCCTCTTCCTATGAGCACYCAATCCAGAGCTAATTTTTGCTTCCCCAATCACCCAGCCAAACCCAAATCCTAAAAGCTCTTTTCAACACCCTCTTATTGATATGACCTTCAGCCCCCCCAGCCTGTGTTCCCCCTAGTTGCAAACGGGTGATATGCCAACGTCGTGTAGCTATAGGTGTGTCTCTGGAGGACGTGACACCTGTCACAGTAGGAAAGGATGGTGAAGGTTCTTAGAGGGAAGTTAGTGCTCCACCCTGAGGTGTCCATTCTCTGTTGGGCAACCGGGGATCAAGGTAAATCATAAGTCTGAGGAAAGTAGAAAATGCTGGAATCAAGTATTCGGAAGAATAGGAGAAATAATTGACCAAAGAGACAAATGGTCAGGCTCTGCTGAGGGCACAGTAAGGCTGGCTGACGTGAATTCACAAGTGTCAAGCTGCCTGTTGTGTGACTTCTACCCTAAGTCTTCAAGGAGAAAAATGGACAGTTTGGCTCAAGTGGGCGTTTGGGTCTACTGTGACTAAAGGGCCAGAGAAACAGATATTGCCAACTGAATTACTGAATGGTGACCAGGAACTCTAAGCTCAGTGGAGAGGTAACAGCAGAGGAGGGGCTGAAGGAAGAGAAAACCAGGGAGGTCCTGAGGAAAAGGGCGGGGTTCATAAACTGAGGGAGCGCCTGGAAAGGAAGGGGCGGGAGAGGGCGGCCACTCAAGAGGACACTGCAGCCTCAGTGGGACAATCCAGGACTTCACGGTGGCGGTGGACGATGGAGGCAGAGGAGAAGAAGATCACTGCAGGTGAGGCACTCAGGAAATGAGTACCCAGATGTAGGCTGGTCACCAAATTCACCAAGGATGGTGTCAAAGACTGAGGTAGGTAGAGGATTATGGGCCAGGACTCCAACCTTTAATGAATTAGGGTAGTGGCCAGGAGAGAGCAGACTGCAGCAATGCGCAAGGGTCCAGTTATGTTTGATGGATCCCAAGAAGTGGGGTGGGGAACCAACAACAGGGAAAATGCTATCTCCAACACCCTGATTCTGCAACACGCTAGGATGAAGCGCACAGATGGATCACTTGAGAGGACTTCAAGAAAAGGACATCCTTAGGGCTGTGTCAAGGTTAAGGCAACAGGAGACAGAGTGGCTAAGGAGGGGTCGAGGAAATAGAGGGCTGTTGATTATGGAGTAGCAGCTTCAAAGGACACACTGCTCATTTTGCAGGAGCATTGAGTCACAGGTACACAAAGAATAGGAAGCTGACCTGGGCCAGAGCATGACASGCAGAGTGAGGAAAGGAGGGGTGGGTATCTGCGTCTGTTGTTATAATAAATAAATGTGGCTGGGTACTTTATAAGACAAAGAAGTTCATCCAGGTCACAATTCTGGTGGCTGGAAAGTTGAAACAGCAAGCTGCCAACCTGGCGAAGGTCCCCTGCCTGAGTCAGAATATGAACAAGGAGCAGACGGGTGGGTAAAGGTGTYATGGTTTTGATATGAGGTGTCCCCTCAAAGCCCCTATGTTTCTGCAGGAATATTCACAGGTGGAACCACTGGATTGTGAGAGCTGTTACCTAATCAGTAACATGCTAGTTTGCATGGACTGGGTGGTAACTATAGGCAGATAAAAGGAGTGGCTAGAGGAGGTGGGTCATGGGGTATGCCGTGCTGAAGGGTGCATCTCCTGGCCCACCCCAACCCCTTCCCTCCACAGGGGCCCTTCAGCCTTGATGCTCTGCCTCAGCTTGGGCCCAGAGCAATGGACTCAGCAATGGACTGAACYGCTGAAATCTTGAGCCCCCCCAAAAAACTTTTCCTCCTCCTCTAAGTTGTTCTGATCAGTATTCTGGTCACAGTGATGCAAAGCTCATTAAAACAGAGGGTATGTATAAAAGAAAGCAAGGGAAGGTACGCTCTTCCCTTATCATAATCGCTCTCACCATGACCAATCAAGTTCCATAAGAGCGAAAACTCCTTCTCTTAAGAAATGCCTTAATAAGCCATTTTCTGCCCGGAAAATGAGACATACCAGGTGTTTGACCAATGGGACTTTATGGCTCTAGGTCAAGGTTACAGGCCACAGTTACAAGAAAAACCAGACTCACAGCTACTACACATTCAGCAACTTCAACCAAATAATACCAGACTAAAGGGAAATCAAAACTACTAATAATCTAGGTATGGTGTGCACACCTGTAATACTAACAACTTGGGAAGTTGTGGCAGGAAGATCGTAAGTTCAAGGCCAGCCTAAGCAACTTAGTGAGACCCTAAGCAACTTAGAGAGACCTTGTCCCAAAATAAGAAAAAAAAAAAAAAAAGGCTGGGGATGTGGCTTAGTGCTAAAGCGCCCCTGGGTTCAATCTCTGGTACCAAGGAAAAAACATTACTAACAATTGAGGGCTTCACTTTGTACCAAATCATGTACTAACAACTTTGCATTAATTATCACATTTGGATCATCACACATAAAAGATACATTACCCGTATTGTCCCCATTTTAAAGATGAGAAGACTGAGGCACAACGAGGAGAATAATTTGTCCATAATTTATGCAAGAAATCCTAATGTCATAAATTTTGCCAAAATTTAAGGGCTTACTGTATTATAGTACAGATGTCGATCACAGAACCATAGAAACTGAAAGACATTGAGTCCTGCAATATAATTAGAAAATTAATTTTAAAATTCTCAAAAACTCTCATGGCATGTTTTTTCAGAAAGGGAAAACTCAGTGGATAACAAAACAAAACACTGATGAAATGCATCCAGATGGCAAAAACATGAAGTCTTCATAACTAGAACATATTCCAGAAGATTCTGATTCATGGGTCTAAAGTAGGCCAACATCTGTTGTTGTTTGTTTTGTTTTGTTATCGAGGCTTGAACCCAGGGGCGCTTAACCACTGAGCCACATTCCAAGCCCTTTTTATTTTGAGTCAGGGTCTCACTAAGTTGCTGAGGGCCTCACTAAATTGCTGAGACTGGCTTTCAACTTGTGATCCTCTTGCCTCAGCCTTCTGAGCCGCTGGGATTACAGGTGTGTGCTACCATGCCCGGTTCATTATTTGTTTTAAGAAAGCAAGTTTACAACAACAACAACAACAAAAATTACCAAAAATATTAAATTAGTATGACCCTAAGAACTGCTGAAAAGAATTTTCTCTCTGAAACTTTTGATGGAACTAAAGAGTCTCTTAGAAAATGACACTCAAGGGATTGGGGTTGTGGCTCAGGGGTAGAGCGCTCGCCTCGCATGTGCAAGACCCTGGATTCCATCCTCAGCACCACATAAAAAAATAAATAAGTGAAATAATGGTGTTGTGTCCAACTACAACAAACAAATAAATATTTTAAAAAAGAAAATGACACTCAATATGAGAAAAATACATTACTGATTCAACAGTGCTATAGATATGATCAAAGATACCTGAAAGCTAGGAGAAATAAAGGCAAATGTAATCTCTTCAAATTCATAAATCTCATCAGGAACTGTGTCCAAGACTTGACTACATATGGATCTTTTCATTTATTTAATCAACCACCACTAACACCTACTAACTCACTCACTGCTCTGATTGCTAAACTAATACTAAATGTCGTTGGATCCTCAAAACTACCTTCAAGTGAACATTAATACCATACCAATTTTACAGATCAGAAAAATGTGGTGCACAATGTGTTTGGAACTTGCCCAAAGTTCACACAACTTGTAAGTGGCAGAGATCAGTTTCACAAGAGTCTGGCTTCAGGGTTCAAGCCCCAAACGACTATACTTATTCTCTAAGAACCTATTAAAAGTACAATCCTTCATCCAAAACTTTGGAATTCCCCACTCTACAATACCACCCTGAACCCTGCCTGCTTCTTCCAGTTCTTTCTATTGTTCTAACAATCCATACTCCTCTCTTGCTCTGTTTGAACACTCTCCTACACCTTTTTACTTAGCCTTTTCTTCTCAACCTAAACATCACGGTCTAAATTACAAACGCTAATGGCACCTTGCATCTCCCACAACACAACACAACACAACACAAAGTTATAATTATAGATTTCACGAGTAACAATTTGTTTTCTGTCTTTCCCAACGAGGCTGTGAGTTCCAGTATGTCCCACACATACTTCCTTGCCATCTATTCACAATGACTGAAACCCCACTCATCAGCCCCAAGAAAGGACCTGGCGCGAAGTCCTCTCCCAATAAATAAGCTGAATGAATGAAAAGAGGACCCACCAGCCTCGTGTTCTCTTTCTCTGAGGTCCATTTGCACTGGAAATGCTTCCCACACACACCTCCTTCCACACCACCAATTCTCAAGCCTCTCTGTGCTACTGGCTCTACAAACAAACATTATGTGGCCCTGGACAGTCACCTCCCCTTCATGGGCATGAGTCTCAAGGGCACAATGGGGATCACGACCACCCCCCAAATGTAACCTACAAAGGAGGGGAAATCTACACTTCCCACAACCCAGCAAGGTTGTAGCTACTGTGTGCAACATGTCCGTCCCTCTTGCCAGGRAAAAGGCATAGACCGTGTGCGCGTTGTCCAGCGCCGTCCTCCCATTCCCAGTACCGAGGCTCCTACGTGCCGGGAATCCCTGCTCCGTGCGCTTCACAGGTGCTACCAAGGGTCGCTGGAGCTGCGCGCGGCATCCCTCTCCGGGGTCCGGGAGCAGTCCCCAGACACAGGCCCGCCCCGCACCCAGGCCCCGACCCCGGGGCCCGCCCCCAGCCCCGCGCCCACCGGGCACCTCTTGCACAGAGAAGCATCTTCGCAGGTGCCGCGCACGCCCTCGTCGTCCGTGTCGCAGGTGGACGAGGAAGCAGAGGAGATGAAAGAGGGCTCCCTCAGGCTAGCAGCCATGGGCGTGGAGGTTACGGGGTGCTGTGCCCACCAGGGACATGGAAGCGGGGGTCCACAGGTGGCGGAGCAAGGAGCAAACCACTCCAAGGAGGCAGGATAGGGGGGCCGGTCTCCACCCGCTYAGCTGGCGCGGCTCAGTGACGCCGCCCCCGCAGGCGGCCCCAGCAAACTTCTAGCTGATTGGCTCCTCTGCAGTGACGCTCATTGGGCTGTTTCCCCGCCCTTTCAGACCTCGGAGCTGCTCATTGGAGGACTCTTCTGGCTCCGCCCACGCGACCCGGAAGTGTGCCTCAAGATCAGGGAAATTGAAAATGACCTAAGAGTGCCGSAATGCTCCCTGGGAAGGGTAGTCCGAGTTGCTTTGGGAGGACTTCTGGTTCCTGGTTGCTGGTCACAAAATTTTGTAAATATGATTAACTCAGGGCAGAAGAGCTAGCAGGATCTTGAGCACTGGAGCGAAGGGCAGAGAATCCAGCCAGGAAAAATTAAAAAAAAAAAAAAAGGGCTCAGTGTTATTCAACGACTTAACAACTTTTAGGGAGGGCTGACACTCTCTGCCAGGTCCTGTGCGGAGGTCTTTGCACACACAATCTCCTTTGAAATGTTGTGGAGGAGGTAGTGCATGAAAAACTATGTAACAATGAAAATAAACGGCTAAATGTTAGAACAATAAATTATTCGGTGAAAGATAAAATGATAAAGTGCAAACCAAGCAAAACTAATGTTGATTAGAGAAAATTATGTATATGATAAAATAATGTATATAAAGGCAAAGCAACAAGGGAAAGTGTCCCAGGAATCAAGGCCTGGGGAGTGTGGGACACAAAAATTAGGGAAAGGCACTGGGTTGGCAGGGCGGGGGATTCATAGGCATATCTTCAGTTTCTCAACTAGGAGTGAGTTCACGCCTTTGTTTCATTGTTATACATAGTCAAAATGTTCATTACAGATATTTTGTTTTGGATTTGTTGTAAAGCATTTTATAAATTAAAGAGAAATATGGGGGCTGGGTTTGGCTCAGTGGTCGAGTGCTCTCCTAGCATGCATGAGGCACTGGGTTCRATCCTCAGTACACCCACATAAATGTAAAATAAAGATATTGTTTTCCACCTAAAACTTAAGATAAATATTAAAAAGAAAAAGAAAAACAARAAATGTGTTCATATATTCCGTTGTATCTGCTTTGTGTTGGAAGCAGGGAAGGGATATATTCAAACTTTTAAACTTTTAATTATAACCTATTTAAGCAAAACAAAAAAAAGCAGAATAGTTCTGGAGGGTGTAGTGGTAGAACACTTGCCTAGCATTCAGAAGGTTCTGGGTTACAGCCCGGGGCGGGAGTGGGGTATATATCAGGCGCCAGTGCCCATTGCCTATAGTCCCAGCTGCTTGGGATGCTGAGACAGAAGAATTGCTTGAGCTCAGGAGTTCAAAAACCATCCTCAGTGATATAATGAGACCCCTCATCTCAAGAAAAAGCAAAATAAAACAGCGCAAATAGCAAATAGCAAATATTCACTTAGCATTCTGGAAATGATAGGGGGAACAGCTGAGGTTAAGATTTGCCGGGGAGGGTGGTGAGGGGAGGGCATTTTTCTCAGCCTGGTCCTCTACAAAGGGTGGTTCTCTACAAAGCCCTGAGCAGGTGTAGTGTCCCAGCTTGGCAGTATACATGTTCCATGAGTGTTAGTGGATAATAAATGTCAACAGCAAGTAGTATAAGGTACCGATCACAGTGTCTAGATTTGGATAGTAAGATCTGCCTGTTTCAATGACCTCTCAACCACAGTTTGCCTTTATCTTCAAAGGAACACAGTTCAGACTTGACCTGGCTACCCACAGTGTACCTAAACAATTCTGATCCTGTATACAATATTTACAGGCAAGGTCCTAATCATCTCTGCCTTTCTCCAGSAGTACAAGTTTATTACCTTTATGACATCCTCCTTTGAGGACATTTTTTGAGGGACACAGTTATTAAGGACATACATGTCCAACATCTTTTAGGTCTTTTTGGATTCTGGAGGTAATATTATTAATAGTATTGTTACTTACAAATTTTACTTAAACACACTTTATGCTGTTACTTGCAAATTAGCMATGTGCCCAGCTTGGTCAGGGTTCCCCTAACAAGAGGCTCTAGAATTTGTCCAAATTCAAATCAACAAGCACTCTTGTTACTGCCTTCAGAGACTCCTGCAGTGAAGAGGATGTGGTGACCTCTGCTCATACTTCCTGGAGTCTCTGGATGGCCTAAGATGATCATAAGMTGCCCATGGACTTCTGATGCAAAAACTGCCATTTTTGCACCTGCGTTTCAGCCATTAGAATGGTTACTGGCCACAGTCTAGGCTCTTCTGGAAATAGAGGTTTTCACAGACCCTGAGCCTGTGGCTCCCCATACCCAACTGCCCCGTTATTCCTTGGGTCACAGAGGCAGCACCACACAAGTTCCACATGGTGCCAAGACCTCCTTGCTATAGATGGAGCCAAATTTGGGCATATTCTGCCTTCAAGTGGGGGTGGTCTTTCCTGTCTCCAGATGACAAGGTGCTGGAGAGGTCACCCCAGACTCTTTAGTGACCTGGGGATCAACTTAGCCAACATCAATGAAAGACTGACTTCAGTAGAGGTGCTTGTCCTGAGACTACAGGGAAAAATCGAAGACCGYATTAGCAGAAGATGGAAACTTGGAGAACAAAAAAATGGTCAGAAATAAGAAGTCATAAAGAGACTAAGAAGGTCTAAAGTTAGAAATCTAGAGAGAGGCGGGGGGAGAGGGGGAGAGAGAGCGAGCAAAGACAAATAATTTAATAACAGGGTCTCACTAAGTTGCTAAGACTGATATGGAACTTGCGATCCTCCTGCTTCAGCCTCCCGAGTCTCTGAGATTACATGTGTGTACCACTGTGCCCGGCATACACATTTATTTCTAAAGGATCTGAAAGAAAACAAATGAAAAGAAAAACCACTAGAGTGGTTTCCCTAGCAATGGAAAGGGGAATGGGACTTATTCATGAAAGGGACTTGCTTTTTAATTTTATGTAACTTGTACTTTAGAACTCTTCACCATTTTTTCATATATAGGGAGGTTGCACTCACATATTTTATACTTTTTTTTTTTTCGGTATTGGGGATTGAACTCAGGGGCACTCAACCACTGAGCTACATCCCCACTCCCATTTTGTATTTTTTTTTTTAGACACAGTGTCTCACTGAGTTGCTTAGTGCCTTGCCATTCTGAGGCTGGCTTAGCACTTGAGATCCTCCTTCCTCAGCCTCCCAGGCCACAGGGATTACAGGTGTGCCGCCATCATGCCTGGCATATTTTTACTTTGTTAATGCTAACCCAAGTTAATGTTTTACTTACCCAAGTTAAACACCTACCCCTCATTAAAACTGAAAGCATTCAGACAATACTTAAGTACCCTTTGACCATAGTCTCTCATGTCACCCACACCCTTCCTCCCAAGGAACAGCCACTGGCTAAGTTTGGTGAATACTATTACAGCCCTTTAAAAACACTTTTTTTAAAAAATCACTTATTTTGGGGGGCTGAGGTCTTGGCTCAGTGGTAGAGTGCTCATCTAGCATGCATGAGGCACTGGGTTCGATCCTCAGCACCACATAAAAATAAAATAAAGATAYTGTGTCCACCTAAAACTAAAAAATAAATATTAAAAAAGCATTTATTTTTGGCACTGGAGATTGAACTCAGGAGTTCTTTACCACTGAGCCACATCCCCAGCCTTTTTTATTTTTTATTTAGAAMCAGGCCTTTTTATTTTTTATTTTGAGTGGCTACATTGCTGAGGCTGTCCTCATACTTGCCATCCTCCTGTCTCAGCCTCCTGAGTTATTGGGATCATAGGCAGGTGCCMCTACACCTGCGTGTAAATTTAAAGAGAGTAAAACTGAAAACAAATATGTGAGATTTTTTTTTTTCTTCTTCTTCAAAAGGTCACTTTGTAAGGTAGTACACMCATGGTGGCTTGGTTTTTAAACATCTCTATCTTGAGAATCTTCTATTTCTTTTAAAGTCCTTTCGGTACAATTCCAGCACTCTTGTCAGGTGACATCAGCAAAAGTGAAGATGTCCAGCCCCACCAATGTCAAGTCCAGCTGGGCTGGTGAGAGACATAACTCATGGAGCCCAGCTCACATCTGTTCATTTGGGTGTGGCTCCTGGAGTCTTTTTCAAACTTCCTGGTACCTTCCTAGCTTGTTTGTTCTCTCCTGCTGCATCTAGAAGCTTCTTACAAGGAGAAAGGCTTGCTGGTGGTGTAGATGAATGAGATCCTATGTGTATAAATTCAACCAAAATTTCTGAAGAGCAACTATTAAGCACAAAGTGCTGGTTGGGTTTTGGAGGTGTGTTGGGGACACTCACCTGGATGCATGGCCTTGGTCTACCTGGAACAACTGCTCCCTCCCCTACCTTTCCATACCCAGCATGCCTCCCTTTAGTTGTGAGGCTTCCTCTGCTTCACGTGGTGCTTGAAGATATCCAAGGAAGGRCTTTCTCCTTAGAACTTTGTCTGCTTTTCCTTCCAGGTCATAGGTGAAGTTCATCCAGCATCCAGCCCGCACTTCCTGTCAGACCTCAGWTTGTTTTTGAAGCATTCACTTTCTCCCCAGATCCCTTTCTGTCAGGTTTCCTTTTGGATTTTCTACTTCTTCTTCCCATTCAGACAAGGTAGAGCCTATGACTCGTCTTGTCCCTTGGAGACAGAAAACTGTAACACCATCCGTTTTCCAACTCAGTAGCATAGAAAACTACCTTGTCCTCCGTGATTGTGATTTTTCTCTGTTGGCTAAGCAGCCAGGGGTGCTTTACCACTGAGCTACATCCACAGATCTTTTTATTTATCTTTTTAAATTATTATTATTATTGTTTTTCTTCTTATTATTTTATTTGTAGTTGGCCACCACACCTTTATTTCACTTATTTATTTTTATGTGGTGCTGAGGATCGAACCCAGGGTCTTGCACATGCSAGGCGAGCGCTCTCTATTGCTGAGCCACAACCCCAGCACTATTATTTTTTTTTTTTTGAGACACAGTCTCAGTAAGCTGCTTAGGGCCCACTAAGTTGCTGAGGCTGGCTTTGAACTTGTGATCCTCCTGCCTTAGCCTCCCAAGTCACTGGGATG